CTGTTTTATCTTTGTAGTTTATGTTTTGGCTAATGTAGTGCCCGTTTGAGATAATAACATAAAGTATCAATAAATTGCTAGATACATCTATGTGTGTAAGACATAAGCCGAAGGAGTTTATGTAAAAAAATAATATTTTAAATATACATAATGCGCCAAAGTTAAAAGAGTTTGTATAGCTGAAATAATTGTCTTTCCCTCGGAGTGCTTAAGGTCAGAATTCAGACACAATTTTCCTCATCGCTATTACTAAAATGTATAATTGTTGGTGAGAAGAGGAGTCGAATAACGTGCTAATAAGAGAATTTAATTAGTGATTTTAGTTCAACAAATAGCAGGGCTCTAAATGATGCGCAAGGTTTGATTAATTAACGAAAATTCACTCCCACATATACTAATACTCATGCCAGATAAGATGAAATAAGTGATATAGAAGACTGCAAATCTGTACTAGTCCATCATAAAGCAGGCTATCATTCCTATGACCATAATCAAGCTGAAGAGTCAGGACAACTCGGCTTGCTTTGTACAAATACGTGCAAATGAATCGTTAGCTTGAATATGCTTGTAAGGATGATATCCTGCTCTGTTGATGTTTGTTACAGGGCAGACAAAAGCTTAGCACATTGTCAGTGGATTTGAAGAAGATTGCTTCGGAAACAGCATCTTCAAGAATTTTCTAGCAAAGCCGATCGATAGTCGGTCAATAGGAATCCACCCTCGCCTTCTGATGGGATGACCTTCACATCTATTCGCTAATCACTTTTACCCGAAGTTGAAGGAATCAAGAGATTCCTAAAGCCCTACTTTTCTTTCTTATATAAATAGTAATAAATTTAGACATACTGGCAGATGTTGTTTCCTCGGAAGTTCAGTTTAGCTCTTAATGGTGTATTTAGAAAAGTAGTTTTGTACCACATTTAGAAGATCTAAGAAATACCAAGCAAGTAATGAAGAGGTATATCTGTGATTATTTTTTTGTTTCCATATCTATCAGTGATTTATTGAGTAAGGTAAAAACACGAGAGGTTGTCCCCTAGAGCGTGGTACCTGAAAATGGCTCAACTTTGCGTGCTCCAAAGTAATGAAATCAATGAGGCTCCAGTCACACAACATGATCCTTGGCCCCTATCAACAGATTTGGACTAAGACAAACTCTTGTATACAGTCAATAGATGGCAAGCTTAGGCCATACAATACTAGCAGCAAGATTGACTTCTTCCAAGCCACCTACCGACAAACCGGCAAAAAAGCCTTATTCTGAGTGAAGGTGTAAGTTGAATTGCTATACCAGAAACAAGATGGCCTGTTCCAGAGAGCTCGGAGCTCATAAAAGTCCGAAGCCGTTGGGCGAGGTCAGTCTGAATAGGAAGAGAAGGCGAGTAAAATTGTGAGAGTGAAGAAGTGCAGGCAGAGCGGACACAAACAGAAAACCGAAAAAGCACTGCAAGGGAGCAGCAAGAAATGAAGAGGGTCATAAAGGATACCGATTGGCCGGTCTGTCTATACACGTGGCCATCAAATGAGGCTAATGAGGCTGGATCAGGTACAGTAAGACAATACGAGGGGTGCAGTTGAGCCCGTTTGGGCAAAAGGTAGTGCCTGCCGAGTGGCTCTGCCTGGCTGGGCGGGATGAAATAATGAAATTGGCACGGACACGGGCAAGCAGGCTTTGTTGTGTGTCCTCATTCGTTGTCTTGTGTCGAATCGACACAAATTAGCCCAGAAGATGCAGTAGAAGGCCCAGGACCAGATGGCGGACACAAGTAAGCCTCAGAATGGGCAACTTCAGCAGCGTATGCATGCCTCAAGGCGCATGTAAACTCTTAAGGACGACTACAGGCATAGGCGAGTGTCAGTGAGGGGGAAAAGGCAAGCTTCCATTGAAAGCAGCCATCTGCCATGGCAATATAAGTGGAATCGAGCGACACAATTAGGCCATACAGACAATCTGCCTGATAAGAGTTAAAGTAAAGTACTATACCAGTTCAGTGAATAAGCGGTGAAGAGAATTTTCGCCAAGCAAAGTCATACATGTGGCCTATCCGCGAGTTGAAAAGCTAAACGGGCGTACAAAATAAGGAGTGTGATAACACATAGATCCATGCAAATTATAATCCCATAAGCTCGGTGGCGAAATAAGAGAGTGATTAATGCAGTGGCAACATGAGGAAAAGACCAGCGCAACAAAGAAAAGATAGTGTCATTTAGGAAGAAGCAACAGCCCATCCGATAGGATCGAACGAGATCGCTGCCGCGAAATCTCGGTCTCTGTCACGGCCACATGTATACAGTCAGCAAGTCAAGTTTGACTAGCTGAAGGAGCCTTTTCACTTACGTGGATAAGCCACTCTAGCTCCCATAAACAAAGCAAGTCAAGCGATTTCATGCTGGTCGTAGATTGTGATCGAAGGCGTAAAGTCTTCACCATGCCTCCAAAACGATTGCCATAAAAATTCTCGAGAGGTATTCACACTATTTGCCTTTATGTGATGAAGCAGTGGTCGTTCAACCTTTCCCATAATTATATTAGGAGGCTTCATGCTTCCAGTGAATTTCAAATAGCCTTTAATCCCAAAAGGTATTCTCGTCTAGACTGGCCCGCAATTTCGATCACACCTGAAATGGTTTAATCAGCCTCCCCAGCGTCAGCTGAAATCAGGTTGTGCTAGTGCAACGTACAGGCTGGACACGTTAATGACTACACTAAACTGCCAAGAATGTCCTCGGGTCACAGGTCAAAGTGAATTTTACAGAGGCCTGCGGTGGTATTGTTGATGCAGTAATGTTGTATTTGCTATAGCATTCGACTTAATTGCTTGCTTTCGTTTAAAAAGTAGATTTTCGAGACTCCAGCAGGTCATATCAGAAACCTACTTCTAACACTAAAATAGGTAGTGAATTCCTTTTAACCAACTGTTCCTTCATAATAAAAGCCATGTCACAATATCTTTGCGAAGAAAAGTTGAGTTTCGAGGAACCTCTTGTTTCCTTTGGTTGTTGGGCTTACTTCCATTTCGAATAAAAGTGTTTGGTGAAGAGATTAGAAGGTCGATTCCACCAGAAGACGACGAAGGATTCTTATTGACCAGCTGTTGATTGGCTTTACTTAAACATTCATGTAGACGCTGTTTCCGAGATAATCTACTTCGATTCCGGCGAAAAGGTGAAAAGGAGTTTTCTTGACTCGTTAACTTCAATTTGGTTGTGATGATGATATCTTACTCTGATGTTGTTCGTCATATGACGGACGAAATCTTACCACCTTTTGACCGGAATCGAATGAGATTAATTCGTAAACAGCGTCAGCATGAATGTTTCAGTAAAGCCAATTTACAGCCAATCAAGAGGAATCTGCCGTCGTCTTCTGGTAGAATCGACCTTCGAAGCTCTTAAACAAACACTTTCACTCAAAATGGAAGTAAACACAACAGCATCTTTGCTTCATCAACACTTCCACCAGAGGACTTTGATATGGGCATTGCCTAGGTTCACTTAGAATTCTCTTCTGACCTGTGATCTGAGGGCACTCGTGGCGGTAGGCTGCTAGAAACTAGGTATGATTCCGGTTAGGGGTACTGATGAGACTAGTCCAGCCGAGATCAAAGCTGCAGTTCCCTTCAGTCGGGATGAGAATACCTTCTATAAAGCAGTACCACGTGAAATTAAAGGGAAGCTTAAGTCCTACTCATATTATTGCATGGCAAATTCGACTACCGGTCCTTCGTAACCTTAAATAAAATAAAGCGAATAAATCCCATGTATATTATCTGCTAGTATCCTTGAAAGCCTATTTAGAAAATAAAAAAATTCCTATAGAATCTTGTGCTGGGCTGTCTTTCATGACCAACTTTGGGGTCCATGGGGCGAATTGACAGATGCACTTGACTTGCAGATTTATGCCTTTTTTGCATCCAACTCTCAGGCAAAGGTAGCACGAAAGTTGGCCCGTATAAGTCATGCTGACGGAGTCTTCAGACTTGACCTTAAGATACTTAACGGCCCGTTTAGTCAGGCTGGTTAACTTGGTTTATGTTTATCAAGAACCAGAAGAACGATGGCTTCATGTGGGCAGAGAGGAAAATTGAGGCTCTCTATCAACCTCATCTGAGTCGAAGGACGATGTGCCGAGGACGTTTTCGCAAAATCCAACAGTTTTAGCTCGACAAAGACAATCCCCCTTCGGTTTACAGTGATATAAATTCATGAATTCCTTATAACCAACTTTTCATTCATAACAAGAGCCATGTTACAACAAATTACTAAGGACTTCTTCGAAACACTGCTTTTCCCCCTAGATATGTAGTGCGTACAATTATCAAAATAGCGATCAACCCATGATGAGAATACTTTTTAGGAAGCAAGTCTATGTAAAATCCAATGAAAATTTGAGACCGAATCAAATAATTGTGAAAGAATTCAACTATGATTCATTCATCCTCCTTAAGAAATACTGCTCTATTATTCAACCTACTTTTCATAAATCTGCCGATTTTATTATTATAAAAATTGCTTAGACGTCTAAACTTAAGGTGCCATGTTGCACTCCCGCTGGAGGTGTTAATAAGGCCTAGACGAGGTCGAAACTGCAATCCATCCTGGATTTTTGGAAAGCAAGGAAATGTGAAATTCAATGGAAACGTCAGCTCTACTCATATCATTATGGGAAAATGCTAGCAGATAAGTAGCGTTTGAAGGCGCATAAAAAGACATTTATCTGGCCTAGCCATCAGAATTCTATCAGATCATCATGGCTAAATTTTATATTGGTAAAGGATAAGATGCACTGATCAACTATGCCATCTACGAACTCAAGATTAGACAAAGTTAGGCTTTGACTCATTACTTTCAGCAGGAAATGACATCAACAAGAAATGTTTCAACTCAAAAGATTCACAAAGCCTCCTATAAGTATCAGTAAAGGCCATTAAATTCGAATTTTATTGCCAGTTAAAATTGATTATTCTTTTTCCAACAGTATATTTTAATATCCACCAATTCATTTTCATGTCGAACTCGACCCAATTATCATACCCTTTATGCTTAGCTTAAACAATCTCTAGAATGGCATCAAAGACACGGCACCAGTTTCACCCTTTATCTCGGCCTTAGTTGAATACTGAGAATGATATATTGGAATTTCTAACATATTTACATGATCAACTTCCCAGCACACCTAAAGTTGCAAGCTGTGAGTAGGTTTCGTAACCTTTGGCAAGTTACCATAGGTCACTTGAAGTGATTTGAGGAATGGAAGTTTTATTTTGCTAAAATAAATTGAGTAGGTGCAATCGAATATTTCTAAAACGCTTCACTCTTTCAGAGCCGACTATAATTTCGACCTCGTATAGCAGTCATTCCCCCAAAACGGTGGCTGTTAGTCTATCCTGGATGAGAATAGCTTTTTGAATATTATGTATGAGTATGTCATTATTGATTAAGAGCGATACACAGCAGTTGTATAGCGAGTGCCAACATATAATTACGATACAAACAATCTGGTACCTGATCTCGATAAGGTGCTAGCGAGACTGCAGACCGACCTGGATGAGAGAAACCTTTTTGAGGACAGATAGCCCAACCATCAGTCCTTAAATCATCTTATGAAGCCTATGAAGACTAAGTTCTTAACTAGAATTAGCAAGTGTAAAATATTCCTTATTTAGTAAAATATGTTCAGCATAGAATATAGAAATATAAAGTTAATCCATTGAATTGCAAATATTGAGTCTTGAATAAAATCCGGTCTGGATAAACCACTAACTACGAATGCTGAGCCTTAACCCTCACAAATGTGACATGAAGACGAAATAGTAAGCCACTAATGAGACACTGGCCAAGGGCAATAGGAATCTGATTGCATCTCAGATAACTCGCTTTAGGCTTTTAAGATAAAATAGTACACAAATTAGCTCTTGGTAGGCAGACGTAAAATATTCCAAAGCTAAGCCAATAGAGAATAGTGAAAGCATAAAAAAAGACTGTGAAGCAATCGCAGGCCTGTCATTAAGCTTCGATTTTAGGCGAGCTTGATAGCCCCTGATGGGTTACAATAATCTAATAATAAGTTTTTTTGCCGCGTTCAAAGATTGAGATGATATCCAGAAGAGAGGAAAAGGTAATTTATAAACAGTGACATAGGGGAGCATGGACATGCGAAAAAACCTGAATTCAAACTTGTTTCAGATTTGCTGAATATTTTAAGAGGGTCAACAAGATTAATTTTTACTTCAAGTCAGCCAGACCCTTGCAGACCATACTTAATAAAACAAAGCTGCAAATTTTGTAACATTTGTTTCATATCTACCCTCAGAGCACCATGCAAAAGAAAAATAAGCAAATAATTGAATTTAAATATCAATTAGCCTCATATGGAAAGTAATGTTTCTGGCATCATATCTAATAACGCCATTCGGAGTCTTCTCGGAACCCTAATTATAAACGAAGAATAGTAATATTAATAATAACTTCTAAATAATAAGTTTAGGCCTAGTCTCAAAAGAAAAGAGCGAAATACACAAATAAGTCTAAACACCTATGATCTAGGACGAATGTATATAAACGTCGAACGTAATCCATAATCCAGGAAATAAAATTAAGCACATGTTAGAACAATTTTTGGCAA